CCCAGCTAATGAAGAAATAATGGCTCTTTCACCCTTTTTATTAGATGGTACCCGCCTCACTTTAAAACCACTCCGAGATGACAAGTGGTAATTGCCTACCCCTTTGGAGAGATGAAAACACGAAGAGAAAAGGGAACGGGTCGGGGTTATACCCGCACCTTGGTAGTCCCCTAGGAAAGCTATCGGATACCACCATGAATTAGGTGCCATCTATGATGACAAGATTCGCCACCATGAGAGGTAAGCTTCGATCAACGGGTGCAAAGGGAACCGGAGTCCCGCCTCGAGCACACCAATGGGTCATAAGCACGTTGCCAGGGCTGAGGAGCGTGCAGCTCGTAGTCGACCGAGATATTGTAACGCTCTAGAACGCGACCGAGCAATTGCTCAGTCATGATCAATTCAAAATCATGCAAAGACTTCAAAACTTGAAGGGCCTAAGCGGCATTCTTATTTACTAAGGACGCCCCACCCAATGACGAACTACCTACACCAGGGCCACCCGAGGTCGATGCAACTGCCTTAGGCGCTGATTGATCGGACGAAGAAGAAGAAAAAGACATCCTGACCAACCTGGACTACTAGACAACTGAGGGAGGAAGAGCCAAGAACGAGGAAAGCACAAAGCAAATGAGCAGAAAAAGCCAGCATGGGGTTTATAAATAAAAACCAGCCACCCACTGCGACCCTTTGCTTCCCGAGAAAGGGGACAGCTCAACACGCCATTATAACTCATCAAAATAATGAAATCCCATGAAGACCCAAGCTCCTGCTAGCACTGAAGTTCCTGCCAACACTAGAGTTCCCGCCAAGACCCAAGTGTTAGGATCGAGAGCACTAAGAGGGGGGGGGTGAATTAGTGCAGCGGAAATCTTTCAGCGATTAAAAACGAAAGCTGCGTTCGTTCGATAAAAACTATTTTAATGCAAAAGCCAATTCTAAGATTACTTATGATTAAGTGTAGTTTATGTCTAAACACAGTTTGCGTCTAAGCGCAATTTATGCAGTTTGCAGTTTGCGTCCAAATGCAGATTGCGTCTAAGCGCAGTTTGCATCTAAGCGCAGTTTGCGTCTAAGCTCAGATTGCGTTTAAGCGCAGTTTGCGTCTAAGCGCTGTTTACGTCTAAACTCAGATTGCGTCTAAGCGCAGTTTGCGTCTAAGCGCAGATTGCGTTTAAGCGCAGTTTGCGTCTGAGCGCAGTTTACGTCTAAGATCAGATTGCGTCTGAGCGCAGTGCAGTTTGTGTCTAAACGCAGATTTACGTCTAAACACAGTTTTACGTCTAAACGTAGTTTTACGTCTAAACGCAGTTTGCGTCTAAACGCAGTTTTACGTCTAAACGTAGTTTTACGTCTAAACGCAGTTTACGTCTAAACGCAGTTTTACGTCTAAACGTAGTTTTACGTTTAAAAGTAGTTTACGTCTAAAACACAGTTTTACGTC